CATGTAGGGACTTCACAATGGTCGACCAGGCACAGGCGCCTAAGTGTCCCATAGTGTGTTGATGAATACTAGCAAGCTACAGACCCCAGCCGGGACTCAGCACTAGTAAGATTACAGACCTGAGTCCTGAATAGGAGAAGGGACCCATGGGACCTCGAGAGCAGTTCCTATTCGGGTTTTTTACTACCCATACTCAAAGTACTATGTACTCAAGTGGATGGATGAACTGGAGTTGTGTGAAGCAGAGCAGGCATCGCAGCACTGAGCATATGAAAGGCATGTGGAAGACGTGAGCTAATGCCGAGATTATATGCCTGCACGGAATTCTCACAGGACATTCTTGTGTCCTCCTCAACCCCCATCCGATTGAAATTCAAGGTTTGATTCAGAAATGGCTGGCTGCAGCAAAACCATCAGATTGCAGATTCCCCATGCCCTTTTCAATTCATAGGCGCTCTTCAGCAACAAACCAATGCTCTTGCCGATGATGCTACCAGCCCAGACCCTGAAAGATTTGGTCTGCCTCGTCTGGGAGTTGCGCAGAGCCGTCATATGCTCCAGGAGTGGCTGGGCGATTGCAGCGCTGCAAAGACCAGAGAGAGACATTTCACCGCCGATACTGGCCGAAAAAATGGAAAAGACGAAACCGAGAAATGTTTGAGCCGTATCATGCTGAGCGCCCGCCGAAAATGCTCTCGATTAGGATGTTCTACGTATGGAGCTGCAGAAGCCGTGCCAAGCAGGTCGGACTTCGCTTCAACAACCTCTTTATTTCTTCGCTGTCCCTACAGCATCGACTTATTTTGTTTGGATTTAACAGCTGTCAATCTGGGAACGCTGAATTGACAACAATGGTTGGCGCACTGTGGCTGTGTCTGCGCAACACAAACCTCAGATACCCACATGTGACTCACAGTAACATGAGGTCAGACAAGGTAGAGACGATAGGGTGTGGCGCTTACAAGCACAATTGTCCAGATCTGAATGATTGGTTTACGGAGGCTGTAAGATTTTAGGATGTGCAACAATGTATTGCAAACATCTTCCATCTATCCCAGGAACTGAAAATCCTGCAGCAAAGCATCTTCCAGACTGGATGTGCTGAAGACGCACGTGGGTCAAGATTCGTAGCCCCCACACATCCTTTCCAATTTCGACATAGCCTTGGTCACGCAGAGTAAAGATTTAGGGTTGGATGTTACAGAACTAAGCAGGATATAGGTCATATACTAAGGTTACCCAGTCTCCCTAGCCCCAAAGCCCTAATCCCAACAGTGAGTCACATGGCGGATGAAGAGCAGCTCATACATCATGCCCATACGCCAGGATCCGGATGTCAAGGAATGCGACACTCTTTTTCGGATACCCCTACATCGGTTAGGTTTTCATCCAACAGCATGGTCCGGAGGTCGTGCGGCTATACATGTCCCTCAGGGAAGCACCTGCCCCACGGAAATGACACAGGGGTGTTGAGTCGGTACTTTGGTGGAGTTTTGATCGGTTTAAGCATCAGGGGTTTAGGATTTATGTATTCGAGTCTCGGAAGATCCAGTAGTAGGGCTTGGCGTTCAGGTTCAAGGTGCTAGGGGCGTTATTTGAAGGGCTTTACTGGTGCTGAGAAAATATTTGCACTAGACCTCAGAATGGAAGCTGCTGAGCCCAAACGACTCCCCAAACTCCATCTGCGCTATCCCCACAACCTCCTAATAACGCAAGTACCTGATAAAGGTCTCATTTGAAACGGTAATAGGGATGTAGGGTTACAAAGATATGTATGCATATACATATAGATACATCGCAATTATGTGCCTAAACTTTAGGATTGCACCCGAAAATTCAGTACTTCGGCTTTGGCAATGGAACTTTTATATCGGCGTGGGGGAAGTACATGTACTTCCCCCACACCGATATACACATTTATTGGGTTCTCGGCCATGCCTTCAAAGCTTAAAACATACGGCATGACGGACTTATGGTAACGCGCTAGGGTTTTGAGTTCAAGGCTTATACCATGGATTCCTAAGCTTCCTTGTAAATGTCTTATTGATTTCCCAAAGATGCATGGGAAACGACATTTCACCCTTGGACTTTTGTAGTTATGAAGCCCACAACCCAGGGACACGTAACTGTGGAAACCTTGATCCCTATAGATCCCACATAAAGCCCGAAACGGGACCCTACTGTTGCCCCTCATCTCCCTGAATGACGCCCTCCCTCGCTTTGACAATAAAAGACCCGCCAGATGTGCAAGGGCTTAGGGTTTATTATGGTAGTTCCCATTTCACATTTTCCATTATCACAATATCATATTAGTATTAATAACAATAATAAGAGTAATAATAATACTAATACTAATAGAAACAATAACGATAATAATAAGAATAGGGAGTATCTTACCGGCGGCGTGGGAAGTGACAACTACTTTGGGTGGCATGTTTCTTGTTGGTGCTTAAGGGGCGGTGGCGGAATGTACATAGGTACTCGATTCTCGCCATATGTGCATATACGCGCATATATAGATGCATTTATGCAAAGGGATCTTAGAGCTAGAGTTGCCGCGATCCACGTCACTGCTTTTTGAGCACCAGGAAGGCTATGAGAATCAGAGGTTCCAAGTTTGGGTGGTGAGGCGAGGGCAGCAATTCCTGTGAGTTGGGTAAAACCTGATTCCTGAACACCGGCACGCACACCTCAGGGTAATGGATGGTTTGTTGACAAGCTTTATCGCGAAACAAAATTTGAAGTTTGGGCCCGGCAACAATACCGGCCCGGCAATGAAACCTACACCCCTCAAACCAAAGAACTGTCCCCTGCCCCTCATGCTTGATAGACGTCCCCAACATGTCTGGGCTACCGTAGCAACTGTCTCAGCACCCTAAACCCTAAACCGTGAAGCCGGAAAACCTACCCGGAGCCTACGGAACCCACCACTTTCTTACTGGTGCTTGCTAGGAAGTAAGGGAATACAATCCCTGTAGAACTTCTACATGAAGTAACCCGATATTCCCTACTACGAGTAGGCCCCAAAATGTTATTGCACATAATGTAAAAAAAACTGAAAAGCAGAGGGCGCAAGCCACAAAAACAGCTTCCACGGTATATGCTTTAAATGCTAAAGGCCAAGCCCTACACCCTGAACCCCAAACTCCCTAAACCCTGAAATCTAAACTACTCTAAACCCTCCTGAAGGCCTCTGGAGGAATTCTACCTGTCTTCCCTCTAAATCCAAGACGCCCGGCTCACTCAGCAGTTCGAATGCCGTGCGGCTCCTGAACCCTAAGCCCTAAAGGTGGTTTAAGGTTTAGGGTTTAAGCTTTGGGGTTTAGGGCCTGGGGTTTAGGGCTTAAGGCTCAGGGCTTTGGGTTTGAAGTTTATGTTTCAGAGCTCATAGACGTGCTTACGAAAGATTGATTGTTCAGGGCTTGGGCTTCCGGGTGTTAGGCTTTAGGGTTTAGCCTAAACGTTGTAAGCATCCAAAAACCAAGCATGAATATGTGTATATATACTGCAAATATATAATCGTAGGAATACTTCCCAAAATCTGTAGTACATCCACCATTCCCCAATTTCTGACGACCTATGCAATCCTTGGGTACCTGTACCCTCTCTGGGTAAGATTCATATGCAGCGCGAGAAGGTTAATCGATGTGCTTCAAGCGGCGCAGAAAATGTGGCGAAGGCCCCCTTCGGTGCAGAATCTTGCTGCAGAAGAAAGGGGAATTTGGCTACCCCAGCCTGCCAAAACAGGGACCCCTATGGCTATCATATTACTCTTACAAGGCCCTTTTTGTACAACTTTGTGTGACAAAAATCCGCTTCTCGTATGGCATACAGGAAGCGTGCAGATGCCAGGTTAATAGGGTTCCAAAAAAGGTGGACACCCCAGGCTGATGCCTCAAGCCCTCAACAACGAATGGCATCAGGCCTCAAAACGTGGGTTTCTCAAAGCACAACGGCACCCTCGAGAACCCACAAGATACATGGGCCATGGGCATTATAGCGGGGTTGCGGGTGCCGTTGCAGGGATTGTGGTAGATTGTGGTAGGGCTATACTCAGGCATACCCAAATCTATGGCCAATGAACCTTATAGACTGCCTTAGACAAGTCAAAACTTGGCATCCCATAAGCGATCGCCCAGAACGGCTGTACAGGCTTTCAGACGTCTCTTGGTGGCAAGCTAAGATCCAGATGCGTTCAATCAGGCCTTTCTGGCCGACCTCTGCAAACTTGTTGGCTATAAGTACAAACATAACTAGGATAGCTATTCCCATGACCCATGCTTGATGCACTTGCAACCTCACGTATTTTCTCATGGACGTTCATGCATATGAACGAAACAGCTCACAGTATGAGTCGGACTCAAAGCCTATAATTACCACTCTGCTACGGATGCCCACATATAGGCCCTATGCCAATTAGGAATTTCTCAGGACCAGGGATGCGACTCGGAGTTTCATGGGTAGTTCTGAATGGGTTATAAACAAGATGGCACTACTTGAGCAGATACAACCCAGGTTCGGATACGAAACATCCACTTAACGATATCCACCCCTGAACATCCAAGCCGGGATCTATCGGGCACGCAATGAATGACAGCGGTCCATTGCTCAGACTACATAGTTACTAACTTGAGAATCTCCACTCTCAAATCCCGATGCAACTCCGTGGAGAGCATCTTGAAACCCAACACGTCACGATAAAAACCCACAGCCCTCACGATCCGTATATAGGAATTATGGCCTCCCAAAATGGACCGCCATGTATGCACTCGCCCATGTTCTTCAGAAACCCAGTACACTTATACATAAATTGCAAATACTCTAACGCCTCTACCTCAATGTGGTTCTAACGGCAAAGTATGTCCCAATCCCCTGTTGAACTTATGTAGGCCCCTGCCCAAGCCCTTAACCCCAAAGGTTGAACCCTAGACCTCAAAACCCTTAGGCTCTACCTGAACGCGAGACCATGAATGGCTGAAATCTGCAACAGAGCAAGACTCCAAGCAATCGGCGCTGGGTTGAATTTAGGCCTGTGCATCAGAATTTGAAGGGGATAAGGTTCCCCTCTTAGAGGTCCTTAGAATCAGCATTGAGGGGATCCCCTTTTGTCTCAAGGGGTCTCTTACGCCCCTCTGAGTGTCAGAGCTTAGGTACCAAAACCCATTCAGGGATTTTTGCCCAGAAGCTGAAACCACATGGCACTTGGGGGGCAATGTTTCGGCTCATTTTTGTTACAGCTTCAACGTTGTTTATGGGAAATTAAACATGGACAGGGATTATGCCGGAATTGCTTTCTTACCTCTCCTAGCTTTGACATCTTTAATATGCAGGCGATCTGAAAAGACTATCGAGCGTGCTTGCCCAAGTGAGGGTTTAGGGTCCAGGGTGTTGAAGCTCCACGTAGGAGCTTATGCAATTAGAATAAGGCTTTGGGGTACATTTTGCTGCGCAACTGTGTCTTCTACTTTAGCGCTTTTGTCGCGCAGAGTTGAGGGTGGAAGAGGCCCATTCCTCGGTTCCAGGACGTTTTATATGGAGGTTTCCCAAAATTAGGGGTACCATTTTGGGGGTCCCCATAATAAGGACTACAGAAAAAAGTCTATATTGGGGTACCCTAATTTTAGGAAACTACCATATAGTTGTTTGTACTCATGGTTCCCACGTTATCATAAGGTTTCACTGGAGACCTGAGGATCAAGGCTGGAATCCTTCAGAGCTGCATGCAGACGAAGCAAGGAGTACAAGTATCATCTCTGTCTCGCAACGCACCGCAGGCCTGAAAAAACTGAACACATATCCGCCATCATTAAGAATATCCTCGGTCAGTGTGGCTGGCGCCAAGCCAAAATCTCTAGTACTTTCAGCCCCATCTACCAAGGATTGGGCTGATGATGGTAACTTGAGCAGTAATAGCAACTTCGGGAGAGACTTGGTAAATCTAAGGTAGATGGATGTTTGGGCGTTGGCATACCCCCTCGAAACACACAATCGTCCTGAGAAAGAGGTGAAGCAAGAACAGCCCACCTAAAGCCTTAGGTCCAAACAGAAGTCGTTCCTGCTACTTCTCGGGCCATAAATCTTCAAAATTTGAGAACGGGCCGAGCAACTTGCTAGGACCTTGGTAGAAGTCCATGTCCTTGATGCAGGGGCAGAGATAATTTGAATAGGGACTCGGGTGGGTTACATTTTGTTATAAATTCATGAGGACTGTTGGGGGAAACTGGTACTTGTTCAGGCACGACTTGCCCAGCCGTCTTGCAGGCAGGTCAAGCTGAAGGCTTGGGGTTTCGGCAGGGAAAGAAGTTTAGGGTTTAGGCTTTAGGGTTTCGTGCTTAGGGCCCCAAACAGCCAAATCTTGAGCACCATAAACACACTAGAAAAGCAAAACTGATTACCTGAGGCCTTTTTCATGTGTTGTATGTATTGTATGTGTTGTTTGTGCTGTATTTGTATTTGTATTTGTTGTTGTTGTTGTTGTTGTACAACTCCCTCTGCACAGCCCTTCCCTGGGGTTCCAAGGGCCCAACATAGGCCATATGTATAGACTCTAAGGCCCAATGTAGGCAAGGTGCGTGGACATGGAGCCCCAGCATTTGGGGTACAGCGCACCAACATTTATAATCATTTACCAAAGGCTTACAATGGGAGAATATGGCTTCTTCGATAGACCCGGGGAACCCTAAACCCTAAATCCTAAACACTAAGCCCTAAATCCTCAACCCTACACCCTAAATCCTAGATCCTAACCCCTAAATCCTAAATCCCAAACCTGCACCGGGAACACTAAACCCTCTGCCAAGCCTTTCTTTTAAGGCCAAGAATCGGTCAGACCTGCACTTCGCACAGTCTTTTCCACATCTTCGCATTCCTCACAGGGACTTCGCCTAAATTACTGTCCCAAAAATGGAGCAAAGCCATCTGGGCACCCGTGTCTCATGGGAACCCCACTTTAGGTGCGCGTATAATAGTAAATTTAAGGAATTCCTGTCAGCAGGGCAGCAACAGAATGAAACTACAAAGTCTGAACTCATGAAATGTGCTCCTGAGATTCTGTAGACTACAGCCTAGCGCCTGCACCCTCGAGTCAAAAGCCATAAATTTGCGCAACTCAAGCCCTGAACCTTTAGCTTTAACCCTGAACCCTAAGCTCCAAGGCCTCAGCCCCGAATCTTTAACCCTAACGCGCCATGACCTTAATCATCCCTGAACCCCTACACTTCCTACACCAGGGGTTTGGGTAAAATCGAAATCCACCCCCCCTAACTCTGGGTCCCCAACCCTCTTTCCTAAAGGTTACACCTGAAGCCTCAGCCCTGAACCTTTAACTCAAAACTGTATATCCTTAGCGCGAAGACACATGCTCTAAACCCCTAAGACAACCTTCCAATCCCGATCAGATTATAGTACTTTCAAGTTTCTTGTCCATGCTGCCTCAATTTATCCCTATGTCCTTGTCATAAAGCCCCTATACAAAGCCCTTTATAAATATATGTCTATATAATCTATAGGGGTTTTCCAAAATTAGGGCTACTTTTTTGGGGTACGTTGTTGGCGGTCCCTATTATAAGGACTACAGTATATTGGGGTCTATACTGGGGTGCCCTAATTCTGGGAAACTTCAATCTATACATATATATATAAATATACACACACACATACATATACATATCTATATATATATATATACATATACATATATATACATATATACATATATCGCATTTTTGGCTAGGTCCTGGCCTGGAAGCCTATCAAGTCAAACGGCAGCTGCTGTCGGATCCGGCTATGCAAATTCGACCATCCTCGGGGCTCGCAATTTGAGGGTTTAGGGTCTACCTGGACCCCCAAAGTATGTAGAATAATGGCCTTTTGGGCTATATTTAGGGGTTTTGGGCCATTATTTTACCTACCTTGAGGGTTTAGGGTCTAGGGTGTATAGGGTTTAGGGATGCTTAGGGTTTAGGATTTGGGTTTAGGGATGTTTAGGGTTTAGGATTTGGGTTGAGGGTCTAGGGTTTCGGGTTTAGGCTGTAGGGCTTAGGGTCTAGGATCTAGGGTTCAATTAGGGCAGACAGGGAAGTTTCAAAGGGGTTTAGGGCTCACTATTCCTCATACTGTCCCCACAGGGTGTCCATACAATCTCCTTCTAATCTCCATGAGATCCTAAGGTCCACCGAGATTTTGTGAAAACGGCATACAGGGATTTGGGGTAAAAGGCTCAGGATGAAACGTATAGGCTTGGGATGACGAGCTGACAGGGTTTGGGTATATAGTCCCCCTTACATAGATAGAATATTGGGGTTTATATTGGGATAATGGAAAAGAAAATTGAAACTACTATTTAGGGTTTAGGGTTTAGAGTCCCCCCTAGGTAGATAGAATATGGCTTTGGGTACATTATAATAAGATCCCCAAATACCCCATATTCTATCTACTTAAGGGAGACTATAAATCTCAGTGCAAGGCTGAGGGTTTGAGATCTCTCTCTACAGCTACCACACATGGAGGATGCCATGTCTATTTTGACCCATTGGCTGCGCGGAGCACATACCGTACTGGTCAACCTCACCTTCTGTAACAGCGAGATGCGAAGCCCATAGATCGAGAGAGGAGGACAGCTAAATATCCCTAGAACCCCTATATAATCCCTCTATAACCCCTATAGAAGCCCTATAATCCCTGTATAATCCCTATATAACCCCTTTTTTAGCCCCTATAGAGCCCAAGCATCGGTTGTTCTGCTGCACGTTCCACCAGTAAAGGTTGTAGGACACCACTTTGACCTGGAGCTGCTTCTTACCATACTAGGGATTATGGAGTATATGTTGGGGTTATATGGGGATAATGGAAAAACAATGGAAACTAATATAGGGATTATACTATATAGGGGTATATACTCTTGGTGTTGTTGGAACCTAGGGCAATCTAGGGCTTAGGGTTTACGGTGGTTGGGTCGGCAACTGTTTCCCGGCTTCCTTGCTACTGCCATGTTGCTGCTACAACTATCGGTACGGCTACGCGCGATGTATTGGTTTTTAGCTCTAATGACTACTGCCGCTGCAGTAGCAGCAAATGCAACGACCCCAGAACCCTCCACCCTTAGCGCCTGAGCCCCGTCAAAACCCTTGACCCTGTAACCCCAAACCCCCTTCAAGCTTTGACACTTCAACCCCTAAACCTCAACATCCCTGAATCCCTAAACCCTACACCCTAAGGTCTGCTTTGGGTTGCTTGACCCACCTCGTAGCCTTCGTCTTTGTTGACAGCAGGTTGTACTTTGACTCGCGCCTTAGTCTGCTTCAGGGTGAAGAGTTTCTGTGCACGGTTCAGGGATTTGGTCAAAGGATTAGGGCTATGGGGCTAGGGCCTAGGGCTCAGGGTCAAGGATGTGTTGGTGCATTGGTGTGCGCTTGCAAGTTGCAGGTTGTAGTGCATATTTGAAAGCGAGGGTGCGTAGCATTGGGCTTAGGGGCCAATGTATCGTTTTTTGAAATGGCTGCCACAGGCAAGAGTAGCAGTCGTCGCAGCGAGAGCCTGAAACCTGGATCCATAGACTGAACGTAATGTGGAGCAACTCCAGCTTGTTTTTCAGCTCAACATAGGGTTGCTGATGCTTACCAGACCTAAGCCAGGACCCCTAAGCCATCGACATGTAAGCCTGAACCTAGGCCCTTACACCCTAAATTACTTTCTGGATCCCCCAAGAGAGCTCTTGGTTGTAGCCATTTCCTTGCACTCAGCAGCTTACCCTGGGGCTAACATAGAAGCTTGCGTAATTGCCATAGCAAAACCCCTTTTTAACAGAAGAGGGCCCGCGGCTCGGTGCAGCATAACTGAGCCCGAGTTGCCTGGATGAAGGCGCCGCCGGAGTTGCGGCTCGCCTGCGTTGACTTGCACGTTGTCTTACACAACTTCCCTAACCAGGGAAACCATATACGGTAAAGGTCAACATGTTGGAACATGATCAGATGTTCTGCTGGTTCTTTCGCTTTCTAGGTCTTGGGGTGGGACGTGACTTTGTACTGTGCGATACAGTTGAAAGCACAGTACTCGTTCAGGATTTCTTTTTCTGATGCCTGCTCACACGATCTGCTCGTCCTTGCTTAATGACGTTTTGGATCTTCTCAGACACCATGAGGAGACCGGCAGCACATTTGTAGCACTGTCGCGTGCGTTTGCCATACAAATGGAATTTGTGCAGGCTTCTATGCTTTGAGGCAGGTTTCCATGGACATTGGTGGGGTTTGTCCCTGCAACGAGTTTTGCTGAGGGTTTGGCGGTCAGCAGTGAATCACTAGATTTATTGCTAGAGTAAGCTAGGAGGGGGATTTAGAGGAAAACACCCCGTGAGAATCCTCTGAGCTTCCTCCTGCACAAGAATAGCCTTAGTAGGAGTTATTTGTTTCTGCTAACGGCGTTGGCCGTGACCGCAATGTTCTTTCACATTTTCAGGGGTTTGACCTTGGGGTGAGGGGGGGGCAGTTACGTCCATTGCAGGACTGCATTCGTGCTTTGAAGCTTCTTGCGAAGACCTTCCGTAGCCGTTGTTTTTCGGTGGCTATTACGTTCAATGTAGAAGCCATGATCCTTGCGTGGCTGGCAGTTGCCTTGAGTTTGGCTATCGTGCTCCGGAATGATACTGGGTGATTGGCTGCGCTTTCCTGGCTGCTAAACTTCAAGTCTCAAGATTTAGCATCGCACCGGAGATCTTGACGATACCTCAAAAGGTATGTGCCGAAGGCTCTTCCTTCCAAGCATGAGGAGAAAAAGGTCAATGCCAGGATTTGTGACTGGATCCTGAGTTAAGAATGGTGCCGCATTAACGGCCCCGACCTCCGGAACGCATTGGGGTCTCTGGCCAAGGAAGCCAAGCGTGCTGAGTGAAAACATTTGTGCTTCGAGCACAACTTTTGCCTCCTTCTGAATCCCCCACTCCTCGCAGTCTTTTGTGCACTTCGGGCTTGGATGCAGTGGTAATCACAGCATTTTTCGCTCTTGTCCTGAAACCCTGATCTACATGATGTCTGCCAAAACCCTGGGAAAACGCGCACGTTTCAGACAAGTAGGTTTTAGTGCCACGTGCTGCGGCCTTGCGGTCGCGAGCTACGCCGTTACCTTGTTTCTGAGGCTACCCTGGACCCGGCCCGCGGGAGATAATCCCTCCAAAAGAACAAGTACCCTGCGCGGGTTCACATTATCAGGGGAGGGGGATTACGCAACAGAACTATGTCCCTGCCCAACTTTTAGGCTTGCAGTTTATGGATTACACACCGAAAACCCCATTCCCCCAACACGGTTTAGGGTTTAGGGTTTAGGCCCTACCACAACTCGAAACCTGTAACCGACCCAGGTGATACCAAGAACGCAGCCTGCGAGCTGTTCGACGCCTCGCAACTGTCAGCAGCTCCACCTAAGCATTCAAGCAATGATTGTAAGTTGAAGCATGTCACGGGACCGGGTGGATATAAACCCAGGGATATATAGGGGTATATAGGGATAATGGAAAAGAAAACGGAAACTACCCTAGTAATGGGGCCTATAGGGTTTAGGTTTGATGCACTGTACTGGAGTGGAGCAGTGGGTCTCTATCATCATCCTGATAGAATCCACGTACAGACAATGTTGAGAAACTCCCAGAATAAGTGCATTCTCGAACGGACAACCAACATGTACCCCAGTACACTTACACAGAGCTGCAGGAAGCCGATTCTACTGCTCCTCCTCCTGTGTAAGTTGCACCATGCTGACCCAGGCCCGCGCCCCCGATACCAGCAAAAACGGCAAAACCCGCAAAATGCAACACAATTGGCTGTGGCCTTTCTGGACACCTAGTCCTGCTCAACCCTATGCAGCATTGCAAGAAGCCACTGAGACACACGCTGAGCAGCTATCTGTCGGATATCCGTGAGGGAGCGTTTGTTCCGCATGCTTCCAAGTCTGTTCCTGGATGAATTACTTTGGGTTTGGGGTCCCCGGCAAACCCTGAAGGACTGCCGGTCCGCCGCAAACAGCTCTAACATGCATCCAGGGCACACCTAATCACTGCCTGCGCGCTGACTGCTGCTAGCCACAGCCTGCAAAAAGAACGAGCAGATTGTGTGTGAATTGCTTGGATCCTTGGGACTTTGTGGCCAGGATTGGCTCCTTGGTTTTGGAATAACCTCCGCGGCAACCTAATAAGCCCTGCAGGCAGGTAGACGTCGTCGTCCTCAAAAGAGCATGACGTAGGCAAAAGTAAAGAAGCCACAGGCCCAGAGCCTTCATCTTTCCATATTTTACTTACTGGTTGGTAGTAGGGGATTGAGGGATGGGCCCCTATCGTAGCACCCACTTTATCCCCAAGAAGATTGTAGTTTCCACATTCTTTTCCAGTACTTCATTGATTGCTAACAACAGGCGATGCCTAGGCTCTATAGGCCTCGATACAGGTAGTGTACATCTCTCGATGAACATCCTGAGGGTCCGTATCATCGGCAATGTCTTACTGGGGTTCAGTAGGGGGCAGGAAAAGGGTATAGGGACTACAAGAGGACATCACGAAGGGACTACTGACTATTACGTAGAGATCCATTCCCTACACAAACCACAATGAGGGTCCCCTGCTGTGTACACGTCATACTGGTCGGTTCCCAAAATAGGGGGACCGCCATGTAGTCCCTAATATGCTCTATAATCCATATATATACATATATAGATATTACGGGGGAACCCTAAAAAGGTACCCCTAATTTTGGGAAATCCTAAGCCCTCAGCCCTAAACCCTAAATAGTAGTTTCCATTGTATTTTCCATTATCCGAATACAACCCCAGTACAACCTTGAAAAACCCCTACGTATCCCAAACCCTAAACCCTAAACCCAAAACCCTAAACCTATACCCCTACCCAACCCCTATAACCCCCTTTCGGACTGCTCTGAAAGGAGGAAAGGTTAGCGCGCCTGAAGCTTGCGGACATTATCGGCGGCATTGGGCTTGGTTGGCTTGCGACTATTGTATTTGAGGGTGTAATCCAGATCCTTCCTTGTACCTATGGTCCCTAATAGTGGGTATTTAAGCCCTAATAGAGGGTAGGAGGAGGGTCTAGGATATAACCCATTATACTAGTATAGGGTATGTTATATATAACCCATTATAGTACTTTAGGGTATAGTATAACCCATTAGAGTAGTTTAGGTATAACAGAACCCATTGCTGTATTTTAGGGTGTAATATAACCCATTATAGTAGTTTCCATTGTATTTTCCATTATCCCAATATGACCCAAGTACACTATAGTAGTAGTTGATTGTTTCAAGCAATCATCTACTCAAGGATTAGGAAAGGTGGGGTTGTATAAAAACCCCGTATTGAATCCTTCATAAACTTCAACCCTATCG